CCCTCCTGCTCACCCCTTCCTCCCAGCCGCTTGTTCCAGCCAGGCCCCGCCCCATCTCCTTCAGGGTCCGCCCCTTTGCCTGCCTTTCCCTTCCCCACCCCCTCCAGACCCGCCCGCTCCGCCCCGCCCTGCCCTTTACTCTCACCCTTCCCGCCAGGTTTTCTGGAGTCTGACTTCTTAGACCACGTCCGGAAAAGCTGCTGGAAGGCGGCCGATTCCGCCCCCTCGTTCACCACCTCCACATTGGTGCCGGACGGGTAGCCCTTGGCGTGGATGAAGCCCTGGGGCGGGGCTCCGTCAGGCCTGGGCTCCAGGCCCTGGGCCTTGCTCCACCCCCTGGGGACCTTTCGCTAGGGCTTGGGGGACTACCAACTCCGAGAAGCATTAATTAACGGAGCTGACAACCCATTTAACTTGCAGGCTGTGTCACTTCCGACTTCTCTAAGGTCCCTGAGGGCATGCAGGGTCCCCTTGTCCAAGCCTAGAGAAGGGCTGGCCGTGACAATCCCTAGAGTCCCACAAAACTTCTCTGTGGTCTTAGGTGTCCCTGATTTTCCCTCTCAGTCAAGATTCCCAGGGCAGAGTACTCACTTTCTGACCAGGACAAGGGTCCCTCCCCTTGAAGACCCCCAGGTATAGATGTTTCAGAGGAAGGTCATTACCTCCGTTAGTCCCCAGGAAAGACATCCTGTACCAGATCTGACCACAGACTGCCTCCCTAGTCAGACCCCTATAGAGGCCCCGGGACCTCACCACAGCTCTGCTGAAGGCTGCCTTCTTCTCCTGGGGGCCGGATTTGCATCCCTGCCACAAGTAGATCTTGAAGCCGCCCTGGTCCAGAAGGTAGCAGTCCTAGGAACAGAGGTGGGGCTGGTCAGCAGGTAGCTCCGAAGGGACTGGGGTTATTGGATGGGGGTACTGGGGCCAGGCTTTCCTTACCTCCTTCTGCAGGAGGTCCTGGGTCAGTGGGCAGGTTGCCAGTTCCTGGACCACCAAGTCTTTTGCCTTCTCATAGACACTGAGGGGCATAGCATCCAGATGTGGGTAGCCAGTCCCTCCCTGGCCTGGTGCCATCCCAGCACTCTTGAATGCCTCCCATTTCCCAGAGACTAGAATCATTAGTTGTGAACTTGATTATTGCTTGGGACCTTAGGTTAGCTCCTTGACCCTCACAAGGCCTCAGTCTCTCCATGTTTACTATGGGTTTCTCAGCGAAGCTGCCACACATCATTCAAAAGTTTAGGCAGGGCCCAAGGAGGGCCCACATGACCTACCCCAGAAACACACTGGAGTGTTCTGTAGAGATGCTGTGTTATTGCAATAATCATAGACAAGAAGTTGTGGACTGTTGCCTTCCCTCCCCCCATGTCCTCCTAATTCTACTCACTGGTAGAGACGGACATGGGCCTTCTGCAGTTGGTTAATACTGTTGTTGGGTATGGCAGCACGCAGGCTGCCCACTCTGCAGCCCAGCACAGCCTCCATGATGTGCATGAGGTCGGTGGCTTCACGCTCATCATCCACCACACCAATCTGGGCACGGCCACCACGCTCCCTATCCCGGAGACTGCAAGTCAGGGCCAGGGCCTGTTGGAGAGGACCAGGAAGTCAGGGCTTCCTGGGAGTCACCCCTCATGACACACACAGTCCAGCACAGGTCCTTCCCATTACTGCCTGGTGCTCCGGTGGATATCCTGTCATGCTAGCATCCCCAGGGCTACCACCAGTGGTGAGACTGAACTCAGCCAGTACCTAGTACATGTCTGTTGAGTTGAGCTAGAGAGCTCAGCTGCCTCTTGGAGGATGGAGGACCACCCCTCTCCAAACCCTGCACCCCCCACTTCCTAGGGTAGACACTGACCCGTGATTTCTCAGAAATGCTGGTTTGGGGCCCATTCCACTGGATCATCATCTTGCCCAGGTCCAACAGGAAAATGCCACCCTTATTAAAGCTTTTCCAGGATAATGCCACCTGCCAGAGCCAGGAAAGACACGGAAGGAAAAGGCATCTGACCACCAGCACCAAGCCACAGGGGATCAAAGTAGGGTGTGTCACTTGTATGCATGAAAGTATGTGCAGTTGTGTATGTAGACGTGTGTCTGTGACAGCGTCTGTCATATGCACACATGCATCTTGTAACCACATGTGACCTTCCACAGGGCATATGTCACTGAGTGTGACACCTTTCACTCAGTGTGCCTGTAGCTATACATGTGTGCATGTACATGTGTACAGAAGTGGGGCACAGGTATTTGTGTATATGTGTGTGAACATGCACATGTGCATATGTGGGGGAAACATATATGAACAAGAGTGTGTGCTCATGGTGCAGTGTGTGTGTTTGTGTGTGTGTGTGTGTTTGTGTGCTTATGTGGGGGCAGCATGTAACTGAGCATAGAAATAGTTATCAATTGAAACTATTTTGAGGACCAAAAAAAGACAGTCTAAATAACTATGCTAGGATAATAGGAAAAGCTAGCACTACATGGTGTCCATCCTCACATGACCAGGAGTCTGTGGGTAACGGAGCAGAGTCTGTGAAGGACTATGTGCATCCCAGGGGTTACCACATGTGTGGACTGTAACATGCACAAGCATTCACACTGTGGCTGAATGTCCATTGCATCAGATTCTGGTCAGATGGCAGTAGTAGGTCTTGTTCTTTTGTTGATTTCTTGGTGGATGAAGATAAGTGGTAGTTTGTGCTAATTTATATAAGGGAATTACCTAGACTAGACTGAGGGTGCTATCTAAGGATGACAGGGATAGACAGCATAGGTGCATGTATGCGACAATGGCACTGTTTGTGAGAGTGAGGCTTTGTATTCCCTCTGTATTGTGATGCATACAAAGATCCAGTGCACTGCCTCAACTGCCTCTCCTGTCCAAGTTCTTAATGTGCCCATGAGACATATGAGGAGAAAGAGGGTCCAGCAGCAGTTCCCCCAGAAACCCAAGGCTGCCTTTTCTCTTCTCCTACATCAAGCCTGGCCATTTGGGGAGCTATAGCTCCTCACTCCACGCTCTCCCTCTCCCTTATACCTCGATAGACCGAGCTCAAGTTCAGAGGTCAGACAGCATCTGTGGTAGCCCTTACCTCAGTGGCAGACACGTGCTTCCTTCCCCTGATGTGTAGCAATCGCTGGACACCATACATATTGGTCTCCTTATGCCTAGGATCAGAGGCTTGACCTCCCTTCCTGTATCTGTGGAGGGAACAGGGTCTCGTAAAGGAACATACACATACAATATTTGGGAATGAGTGTGGGAGTGAGCACACACATGTGTAAGTGGGGGGATGCCATGCCTGTTTAGTACATGTGTCTGAGACAATGTGAATATATGAGTGTGTAAGTACAAAGGTACTCATGAGAGACAAGCAGAGATATGGATCCATACATGTATTCATATACCTGTACACATGGGCAGGTTATGTGTATTTGTTTACCCATGTAAGTCTAGATGTGAGTGCGTCAAAGTGGGCAACACTATATTTATATAGCGCACATGAACATCCATGTATGTGTACCCATTTACAGGTGGACATGCATGGGGCAGTGTGTGTTTCTGTTATGCATATAGGCTTATGTGCATATTTGCACTATATGCAAATATTTGGTCCAACTCTATGAAACAGAAATAATTTAATATTGGCAATTAAGTTCACTATGTTCTACCTTAGTATGTGACAATTATCTATGTAAAAAAATATGAAACAATTTAGAGCAAAAGACATACTTCTTCCAGCCCAGCAATCAAAGCAAACTACAGATGACATTGGTGTCCAGCCCCAGATACAAAACCAAGGCCAACAACAATTGTCTTCACAAAGATGTATATACAAACATTCGTGGCAGCAGTATTAATACAACCAAAAGATGAAACACTACAGATGTCTACTAGCTGTTGAACTAATTAAATAAGGTCATTCAGATAATGGGCTATTATTTTGCAATGAAATGACATCAAGTAATAATATATGCTATGATATGAATGAATCTTGAAAACAGGATAAACAAGGGATGAAACTCAGTGGTGGAGGGCTCGTGCAGTAATGTGTACAAGGCCTCGGATTCCATCCCTTGCACGGGG